AAAAAAAAATGCCAACCCAGAATAACTGTGCTTCTGTGGTTCCGGTGTGGCTCTGGCTTTTCCTGTGGAGAGCTAATGATTGCTTCCAACATTCATCCCTTACTGTGGAGAGAAGCCGCGTGGGGAGGGTAGCAGAGCTTTTCCTGCTTGGCTTCTGCTCCAAAGTGCTTCACCCTCAAGAGTCACCGAAGCAATTTCCAGCAGTGTGGAGTGCTTCCAGGAGAGAAACCCTATCCTATTCTAGACAAGGATAATCATTTGAGGGGAGGGGGTTGGCTTAAATAACAACAACAAAACCCAACAGACTATGGACGAGCAAGACAGCATGCAGATTTCTAAATATATAAGCATTGAAAATACAGGTAAGGTTAAAAACTTTGATTTCGTAGTATGGCTGCTTCATATAGGAATGCTGAGAATGTTTGGGTTTATTATTATTATTATTATTATTGTTGTTGTTATTTTAAGTTTAAATAGTTCATTGAGAAAACCTTATGTTTACCCAATTTTCCACAAGTAAATGAGTAGAAAGTGTATTGAACACAGTCCTTCAGGAAGGACAGTCTGATTCCTCTCAGGTGTATACCGGTACTACTTCTAATTCCTGCTAAGTGTCCATGGAACACGGCCTGGCATCATACCAGAGGTGTGTGTTTGTGCCATGTCTTAGTCTATTGCAGCTGTATGTCTGCTTTACTAATGAGTAAAACAGTGTTTAAAATCAAGGAAAGGGAACCATCTGCCCAGAATTACTTTTGTTTTAGCTTGAGCTACTCTGGAGAAAAACGTGTGTGCTTCCAAGAAGAAATTCTTAGTAATGAGTAGAAAATACCAAGTTGTTATTCAAGATGTTGAGCCAGTGTATTTACAAAAGTAGGCAATAGTGGAATGCCTAGAAACTAAGTTACAAATGTGGTTTTTATTCTTGTGTTTCATATCAGATGAGCATTATACTACTGTAAAGCTCAGGGCCGTGACAGTCACCTATAAAACCCCAGCTACTCAGAAGGTTGAGGCAGAAGGATCCTAAGGCCTGCATCTGCCCAGGCAATGCAATGAGACCCTGACTTAACATAGTTGATAGGTTTAATGATTACACTAATTTGTAATAGTGTAAGTATGTTTTAGTTTTTGTAATGTGGAACTTCAGTCAGAAAATGACGGAATTGTGTAGATGCTGAATGTAGAACAAAATCATATTTAAAAGACTCTCAGATATTTCTCTTAACCCATTCATCACTTTAATTACTTAACCAAAGTGATGGTTTATGAATTCTTGGCAAGCAGTTATAATAGAGCAGGCTGTCTGTGTTTATTGAGTGCCTTACAGTTATTTGGTAACTTTAGTTGCAAACCAGGCCCTCTCCGATCACATCCCCTAAGAAACAATGAGATTCTAGTGTGGACAGCAGTTATGTTTTGCTTTTCTTTGTCCAGTGTTCATGTGCCAGTGTTGGCCTCGTGGCATCATCTGAGTGCAGGACTACCACAGAAAACAATCTTGCAGCCAACTTCGTAACAGCCCCTAGCACCACAGTTTTGTGGCTGAATTGAACTGAACAGTCCCCTGGATAGGAGACTGCTAGTCATTGGCACAGTTGTGGCCTGGGTTTGGTGCTTCCCACATTAAGAGCAGCAGTGGTCATTGCTCTGTAGCTTACCTAAATAGCTTCCTTTAAAGAAACATTGGCCATAGTCAACTTTAGTTATGACCATTACCTGTAATGGGCAGGCAATGAAGTTTGAAAGGACAGATAGAGAAAAGAAAGGTGGGCAGTATGCAAAGAGAAAGGAATCAAGGGAATCTTATCATACAGCTAAGGACTTTCCTAGCCCCTAAATAGTGGACTTTGATTTTCAGATCCTTTATGGGGCAGGGAAATATCCAGCTTCTTTGGCAATGATCAGTATCGCTGACTTATAGTGTCATAACAGATGCATTCTCTGACAGTAAGTTACTCCCTTATTGGTGCTTTTTCTCCTTGAATGTTATTTGCTAACTTGCCGTGGAAAGCACTTTTGCTTTAGTGCATTCATAGACACAGTCAACACAAGAACAATCAAGTCCTGTTTGTCCATGTTTTATTGTTCCAGCGGTCTCATTCTGTAATTCAAGCTGGTCTTGAAGTCTTATTCTTATCATTTCATATGCCCTTTGGCTCTAATTATAGGTGTGCCAAGGCTAGCCTAGCTAGTTTTGTTCTTGCCATTCATAACACTAAGTAAAAGATGGCACCTGCATTATGGCTGACTGCTTACAAAGCAGAGGTGGATGGGCATAATCAGCCCACACCGGGTGGGATCAGTGCAGAACACCCTTTGTGTGGTGAAATGTATTTTCCCTGCAGTCCCTAATTCCTTCTTGCAGCTCCCTCCAAAACAAGGGTGTCCATGTGACTTGGTGTGTGAGACCTGTTCTGTAGCTTTATTGGGGTTTTTTTTTTTTTGGCATCATTAACAAATGGAATATGACCTAGCAATGTCTGTGTAGAAGCCAAAGGACCAGGCTATCACTATGAAATGTATAGACTCGCATACTGTATTCACCCAAGAAGAAAAGAAAAGCTGGCCCAAAACTCCACAGGGTGAGCATAACACCGTCTTTCTGGCAGGTTCCTCTGAAAATTACAGCTCACTCTTGAGTCTGGCTGTTGTTTCAGAGCAGCTGTACCCAATGGGTTCACACCAAGAATCACCTGGGACTTAACTTGCTGCTTTACAATTCATGGGGTTTTTAATGCTGCTGTTGAAAAAATGCTAAGCCCAACAGTCATGACTGTGTATGAAAGCTGCTACCTCTTTCCAGGAATTAGCTTATATCAAATGTCTCACTACTACTGTCAATGTAATGATCTAAGATCCACCCCCCAGTAAAATGAGTCAGGGCTAGGTACTTTGAGGCATTATAAAAGAATAATCACTTCAGAGAGAAATATCTTTAAGAAGGAAGCAAAGAGCTATTTTTTGTTTTAATGTGCATTTATTAATCTTAGTGATTTTGATAATCCCACAAGGTCAGCAAGTCCATGGAATAAGGTTGACATATCTGACTTTGGCTTATATCATGATCTATTTTTATTGTTCACTTGTAAGTTAGGTACAAAGGTATCCATTTGCTGAGGATGTTGGTTTAGGTGTCAGTAAAATGCCATAGGATTTATTATGAAAGAGACTTCCAAATGGGCTACTCAAGTTGGGCAAAAGACGTCCTTACCACCATATTATGCAGACACCACTGGGAACTGCTCATGGATCGGCACCTTTCAACAGCAAAGTGCAGTGATAACTCACTGCAGGTGCTACATACCCTCCTCCCTGAATAGGGATAGGAAGGACACCCAGCCAAATGAGTTAGCAAGTGGAAAGCTGTCAGCAATTGAAAGTCTTAAGACAAAACCTTTCACAGCTAAGGCAGCCTTATTCCTCATCAACTAAAAGCAGTTGCCACAAATTAAGGATTAATATACCTATATAAGCAGTTTTTCATGGGAAGACATATTGTTTGGCTAAAAGCATGTGCCGTGTGGTGTATAGAAATGTTATCTATGCTATGACTTTATGAACCAAATGATGTAAATTACATTCTTCTCATTGTGATAAGGGTTCTGCTAACGTAGCTGACAGTAGGCAGGTAGTCACCAAGCTTTGGTTTGGTTTGTAGATTTCTAAAGGATTCCTTTAGTGACATTTTAAAAAGGTCTTTTACTGAAGTAAGTAAAAGTGGCCTTAGGCCAGAAATGATGTAGCTCAGTGCCTACTTTGCGGAAGTCCCTGGGTAAACTTTCTATACATCACAAAATCCTAGCAGAGGTTACATCATGGAGCTGGGTCTAGCCCCTTTGTCAAGTTTTTCATGATTCTGGTTATTAAATAAGAAAATTGTGCATCTTCTTTCCTCGTCCACTGATACTTTATCTATAGTGAGCATACTCTGCGTAAAAATTGTCTGTGGTTGACATCAGCCCTGTTTTTAGAATGAGACATTTAGGAGAGCTGGAACCAAAGGCTTCAAAAAGGGATTTGAATGAGATCACTTCTTGAAGTTCAAGCAGTTTGCCTCTCCTTCACTCTTCCTTCTAAAAGCTGTGGTGCCATAGACAGGAGGACAGGAAACAAGGAAGGCTATGAGAAATCAGAACCTGAATAATCAAGATGTTGACTAGGAAGAATGAAAATAAAAGAGTAGAAAAATTGGTTTAAAAAATATGACAAAAATGTACTTTGAAAAGAAATGAAAAAAAATCAGAGTAGAATAAAACGGGGAAACAGTACATAGTGGGTCAAGTTGATGTACAGAAGAACACTGAGCCATGCAAGTAATAAACTAGAAGTGATAAGAGATAAGGAATTTAAACATCTACAGGAATAAGTCAGTAGATAAGATAAAAATTTCATCTCAAAATCGATTTTCTTCCTGAAAAAGTAGACAGAATCTTGACTGGCTTGAGGCTTCTTATTCTGATTGATATCAGTGGTGAGCATTTACTGACATGAAGCCCTGTCCCAGTGTTCATTGCCATGTAAAAAAGGAGAGGCCCTGATGCTAAGTGTCCTTGAGCCTCAGAACTAGGTACTTGGTTTCAATTAATGTGTGTGCTCAGTGGTCATTCCTTTTCAGCTTTTCTTCCATAAGACATTCAGGTTACCAAATCCCAAAGTATGGCTTGCTTCTGTGTTCCTGGTTCCAAATAGATGAGTCCTATAGCTGATTGTACATTTCTAGAGATAACAGACTATCTCCATTTCTTCAAAAGAATGTTGGCCACCGGACACTTTGTTGTCAGTTGTTTAAAATGCAAAAACTGAACATACACATACTATACAGGTGCCAAAATGAATGATTTTATCAGTTATTACTATTACATTTCTATCATTGATGTGATCGGATACCATCACATTTGAGCTTTGCTAGAGAAGGAATTGTATTTGATCACAGTGGTGGTTCTCTTTACAAAACAGAGTGTCAAACTCTCCTCTTCTTTTTTTTTTTTCCTTTCCAGCCACATCTACATCCACAACTGGAACCAGCCATCTTGTAAAATGTGTTGAGGATGAGAAAACTTTCTGTGTAAATGGAGGCCAGTGCTTTATGGTGAAAGACCTGTCAAACCCTCCAAGATACTTGTGCAAGTAAGAAATGAATAATTCTCCCTGTGACTTATATCTGCAACTGCTTCTTTTTCCCTATTTTGTTTCATCCTGTTAAATAATGCTGATTTATTTGTGGAGGGTTTTTGAAATATTTATGCCATCTGCCATCATCTCTGTCATGTCCGGACTTAGTTTTACTCTTTTCAGTGTTTGTTGGTGTTGTTTGCTTTTGGTTGTTGTTCAGTTGGTTTTGGTTTTTGTTGGTTTTTTTTTTTTTTTTTGGCCTTCATATGTATAATTTTGCTTTCCACATGGTTGTCCTTAAAAGATAATGAAATAAATGTGCAAATATTGTTGAACTCTATAAATTTGGATCCCTAATTTTTTACCCATGTACAGAATGACTTGTAAGGCAACACTCTTCTTTTCCCCGGTGCTCACCTGCAAGGTGAACAGGACAGCTAGCCAAAGCAGGAGAGCAGAAAGTTACCTGCTGAACAATTTTTTATTCTTGGGATTATGTTATGAACCCATAATTGTTTTTTTTAAACAAACTTTAAGTTGCTCTTTCTAGTTATTTAAAACAAAACAAAAAAAAAAAAACAAAAAAAAAACAAACAAAAGCAAGGCACAGGTATTCAGGATGGTAGCAATGTCATCATATAAAAACAGAGTGTGGTCTGTGCCTAGATTGTACCTTTCCTTCCAATGACAAGGAAGGGTAGTAGATGTACAGTTAAGAAAATCCCAGCACTAGGGAGGCAGAGGCAGGCCATCTCTGAGTTTGAGGCCAGCCTGATCTTCAGAGCAAGTTTCAGGACAGCGAGGGCTACACAGAGAAACCCTGTCTTAAAAACAAACAAACAAACAAACAAAACCCAACAGCAATAAAAAGAAGTATCAAGTTTTTAGTCTCTCACCAGTAATATAAAACTGTGTTTTTTTTTAATTGGTATAACAAATATTTAAACTTTCTTGTAAAAGAAAAATCAATAGGATGATTAAGATGCATGTGTTTATTTTTCATATATTTTAAGTCTATTAATAGCTGTCCCATGTTAGTTATATGGATTCATAATTTCATATAGATAAAAGATGTTTTGTGTCTTGGATAGGGCCTATGGCACAGTTGATAGAATGTTTTCCCAGCATGCCCCAAGCCCCTGGCTGCATATAAACTGGATGTGATAGTGGCAGCACATGAGTTTAATCTGGGCACTAGGAAAGGATCAGAAGTTCAAGGGCTTCTTGCTAGGCTTCACAATGAACTTCAAGCCAACCTGGGAAATGTGAGGCAGAAGAAGAAGAAGAGGAAGAAGAAGAAGAAGAAGAAGAAGAAGAAGAAGAAGAAGAGGAGGAGGAGGAGGAGGAGGAGGAGGAGGAGGAGGAGGAGGAGGA